CACACAAATCTTTTTTACACAACACAAATTCTTTTTACACATACTGATTTACAAGTACAAAATATTTATGACAGCTGAACTGGATGAGCAGCAGAAAATGGATGGATGTTACCAAAATGTATGATTCCCTGTGACAAACACAATGAACGACCAAAAGCAGGCCATCAAAAACCATTTTATGTTTGTTTACAAATAGCCTTCAATTGTCGACACACTAATTCACGTGAAGCACTGATGACTGTGTTTCATGAAACTACCACAAGAAGTAACTCAGTGTTACGACACAGAACATCACAAACGTGCACAGGAGAACCAGCCGGCAGCGCTGCAGCCAGTGAGTCAGAGGATGCTGCCTCCACCTGAAGAGAGCAGTCGGTCAGTGTTTATCCAGACAAAGTTATCAGAAATAATACACTTTTGAAAAAGAACAAACATGACGTGTCCACTTACGTCCCCACTGTGGAGATCCGTCTGTAGATATTTGCCATCTTTTTCTCCCTTCCTTTGTTGGATAAGACTGCTTTGCCCCTGTGTCTGTGCCGCAAAGTATCCAGAGAGAAGCTGTAAATAGAAAAGCACATTCCTCAGTTCCAACATCTTGAAGCTTGTGATGCTTTTTTGTTGATAAAGTTGCTAATGCTGACTTTAGTAAGAGCTGTATTTGTTAAACTAGACACAGGCCCCAGGGCCAGGAGCAACCAATACTGACACGAAACGCTTCAAACGCTCAGTTAGTCCACCTCCTCTGAATAGTGCCATACTTTTTGTTCAGAGTCTTGCTGTTGTTCACTGGTTTTGATGGGGGGCTCTCTGGGGTTAGGATGGGAGCAGGTCCTGGAAGAGCTTCTGATGGAGTTTCATCTGGATTGTGTGGCCTGAAGTAAGACATGTTCGTGATAAATGTTACCACGTAGTCAGGATACCAAAAAATATACCTGTTGGCGCTAGTTCACCTGTCCTCCACTGAGTAGCTGTCGTCCTTGGTCATGAAAGAGCAGCTGGACTCTGAGCTCATTCCAGCCTTCTTGCTGGAAGAGAGACGCTTTCTGGAGTCTCGCTTTTTCCTATCCTGGAGACAAAGAAGACCCTCCCTGTGATTTATGGCTGATAACATGAGAAAAAAGCAGGAAGGTTTATTCAGGAAACCCCTCTTACCTGAGTTTGGCTGGAAATTACTGATACACAGATCCTTCTACGGATGTGCTTCTTGTTAAAAACAAAACAAAACACACAGATAAAAGGCAGATTGAAGTTCAAAAGATTGCTTAAACCTACATTAGACGCTACAAGTATCCAAATATGCATACCTGCTGAGTATCTTTCTTTATGTTGTCACTTTCCTCTGGATCTACAACAATAAATCCAGCAATTACTCAAACTTTGCACACAACTGCAGAAGAAGACAAGTAACAAGAAGCACACGACTGATGCAGAAACCTGTGGAGGCTCTGGGATCTGTGATGTTTCTGATGTTTCTGCAGGAGCTCTGCTGCTGCTGCATCATCGTCCTCCTGGCTTCTTCCAGCTCAGCTAGATTTCTGTCATATCGCCTCCTCAGGCGCTCCACGTGAGCCACCATGAGTTCCACTGCTCTATTCACTCGAGCCTCCTAAACAAAGCAGGAAATAAAGAGAAAACTCCTACTCCTAGTGCTGGTCCCAATATAGCAGTAACACTTGTTTTTAACTGAGCCTGACCCACAGTGCATGAGCAGAGAGGCCTTAGTGTACCTGATGCACGGCACCGAGCACCTCTGCTGTGTTAGAGATCCGTTCCACGGTGCCTCCGAGGATGTCCAGGGACAGCTGCAGCTTCTGCAGGATCTCGCTGCGCTTGTTGTCCAAACACAGGCTCTTCAGTATCTGAAATCCCACAGGATCACACTTGTATTTGCAGCCTGCTGGGACTCACTACAGATAATAGCGTGCTACGTACAGTACCTCCAGGGTCTCCCTGCCTCTGCTCAGCTCTAGCTGGATGTTCTCCTCAGCCAGGTTACGGGCGTGCTCCTCCGCCTGCAGCCTCTGCTTCAGGGTGTACTGATCACAGCGGAGAGACAAGGCGATCTGAGAGAAAGCCGTCTAGGAGAAGAAACAAAAATATAACAACTTCATTCAGGTTCTCAGTGTCCTCCTGCATTTCAGATACCTGTGGCTCTGCCTGGTGTTGAGATTTAAGGATAAATAAACTTTAATGAAATCGTAGCTGTTCAGAAATACAGAAATCTTGAACTTATAATCAAATAACCCACATCCTGTATGTACATTTTCAAGTGCAGCACATTAAAAAACAAAGTTTAAAACCTACTGAATGGATTTAATGAAGGGGAAGTGTAGACTACTTACCTCCAAATCCTTCTCTGACATCTCTACACTGTTAGGAAACAAGAAGTCTGACAGTTTGATATCACTTCTAATTAAATCTGGCGGTTATCATTTGGTTGTGTTTGTACGTATGAATGTCACCTATTGAGGCCGACGCGCTCTATGATGGGCAGCTCACTCCAGCTTGCGATTAGCGGCTCCTCTTGGCTAGTTTCTGTTAAAAAGTTCAAACTGATTTAGAAACTTTTTAGACCTTTTAAAAAATGATTATTCTTAAGCCATTAACCTTCTCCGCTGTCGTCACTGTCCGGCATGTTGGGCAGGTTGTAGCTGCTTATCTCTGCCTCTGGCTGAAAATATTTGAAAGACATTATCAGCCCTCCGAGGTGTTAAATGACTGATTAAAGGAACGTGTAGGACAGCTGGTTAGACTCACCTCAGCGCTCATTACTGCGTCAGCCTGTTTCTTCACCAGAGTTAATCCAAATGTCAGAGAAAGTCTGATTACAGTATTCAGATTCACTTCAGAGTTCACAGTGGACTCTTCATCATTTGTGCAAGCACACACATATTCTCACGGGTCAGTGTTTGGCTCATTTGCTCCTCAGCCTTTCTCCAGTCCTGAGAATAGATAATCCTATTAAGAGATCCACAGTCAGACCAGAATAGGACGACTGGCCCAAGAGGCTCATGGGAAGCTGTGTTTTTGTATGTGGTAAATTAAAACTAGTGTTGTACCAGTTAATAAATCAAATGCACCAATTCCACAGTTCACCCTGCATCCTTGCTATATAATACACCATGTTATACTACACTCTTAACATCTTGTAGAAGCAAAGGGAGTAGCTTGTTCACTTAATCTCATGAATAAATAATTGGGTTTTAAAGGTTTCAGCAGGACAGGACACAAGGGTGCAGGGGTCCCATGAGGGGATTACATAGGTCAGGAACCGTAGATCTGCTTCCTGTTTTTCAGTCTACATACACATTTGTGATCTGCATCAGTCGAATATTAGACCTTTATTTATCCAAGGCCATTAGAGGACAGTTCAAGCTTTTTGCACTGTAGAGGCTGGTGAGAAACAGGGTTTCATTTCAGGCTGGGTCCATACGAAATGACAATAAACGTCCTGAGTCTTGAGGTCCAGCTAATGCACGCCAAAGCAGACCAAGAGAGACACCAGGCTCACTGGACTGGGTTGGTGGTTCAATCCCAGGGCACTCTGGTATGCCCGCTGACCCCTGAGTTGGCCCTGATGTGTTCATAGAAGGGTGCATGTTGAGGGGAGAAGCTAATGGTAGATTGAAGCTGATAGCAGAAGCTGCTTTAAGGGGTCAAATAAGTGTAGAAAAGCTTTAATTTTATCCCAGCCTCATTGAAATCTTTGTCATCCCAAAAGATATACCCGGTAAGTTCTATTAATCATTTTAATGTCTTTAAGTCAAGTTTCAAACTCTATCTAGGCATGAAAACCTGAATTTCACATCTTCAGGGCAGAGCAAGTTTACATTATACAGACTAAAGTTAACAGAGTTATGTAACTATGTATTTCACCATTACACATAAGTGAATTTCAGATTATCAGTGACACAAGACCTCAGTAATGAAATTTAAAAAAATAAATCACTCAGAAGCCGACTTTGGAGAATCTCCACTTTTATTAATAGAAAAACTGTATTTAGTAGAGGCGCTGGGGTTTGCCCATGGTGCTCTTGATGTAGAGGGCACGCACGTTCTGCCAGTTCTTCTTCAGCAGCGACACCAGGAAGTTGACAGCCAGGTGGATGTTGTACACAAGCTCGTCTTCTGTCATCTTCACATGGCCTACGGCCACAGCCAGACAAAGCACCTACAACGAGCAGCAAGGTTACTCCACACTGATCAACTTCTTCAAACCAAGTGTTAGATAATGAAACCATAAAGCCAGGAAGCAGCAGAACACACCTTCTTCATCTGGAATTTGATGGTGGACTTGACCTCATCCACCTTTGTGTTCAGGTTCTCATTGTGGGTGAGCAGTGAGGGGAACTTGCCGGCCTTGTTCAGCCCAGGACCCAGGATACGAGGGATCTGCTTGATCAGAGACTCAGAGGCCAGGAAAGCATCATACTTCTTGGCTGGAAGAGGAAGAAACAAGCACGTTAGGAAGCCTTGACAGACTTTGGTCACAGATGAGGCAGTTTGTCTGTAATCTTGTGGACACCGTACCGAGTTTCTTGACCAGCTTCTTGTTCTTGTTCAGCTTCTTCAGAGCCTCGATGTCCATGTGTGGCATGTCGGCAGCTTTGGCCTCGTCGCAGTGCTGCTGGTCTCCCAGGATGCACACGGAGAACTTTGGCCTGGGGAGAGTCTTCAGCCTGCATGTCAACAAAACATTTTTAGCAACTGTGCTCACAACCACATTTCAACCTCTGAGAAATAATCAACTCATTCAACATGTGATGATATAATTTGACCCTTTATGAGACCACCTGACTTTACTGTGGAGTAGAAAAAGTCTTACCCATACCACCACAGGGGCTGGCGTCCAGCTGACCTCTTAGGTAATACAAAGCAAATTGGTCGGCATGAGGGCGTGAACTTAGCAGCTCAGCCACTCAAAACCTCCCCTCATGTTTTAAGACCCAGGGTAGGGGTCCGCCTGCTTCGCCTTCCCCAGCAGAAAGCTGAGTAAGCTCAGTCAGACTACCCAGAGTACTTCTCCATGTCTGCTCCTGGCCTGTCTGGACTTTGATTTTTAATGTACTACATGGCCGTTAAACAGGCCGCTGTGATAATCAGACAGGGCTGGAGACGCACAGGGAAAAGGGTGGGTGAGACAGTAAAAGGTCGAACCTGACAGTGCCGGAGAAACGCTTGTCCTTCTGGGGATCATAGTTTTTCAGGCTGATCTGAAGCTCCACCGATTCCACAAACCTACAAAGAGATGACAGGTTACACACATGTCCGGTATTTTCAGTATTACACTTTAACCATTGGTTATCACAGCTGTTCGGATCTGCTTACTTCCTCGGCTTGGCCACGGAGCCCTGCAGGACCTCCTTCACGGCTTCATATAAAGTATCCCTGGAGACCTTACTGTAATGTACAAAACGTCAGAAAAAAAAGTTAACGTCACTATAACTACCACCAAGAGAAATAAGACGGCTAATGATGCTAAAGCACAGCGCTAAAAATTCACCAAGCAGCCACAAAAGTCGTGAAAAAAATATGTGCCTGTTATTTAAGAGCATTAAACTAAACAGTAGCGATTAGATGAAGACTGTAAATGTATTTTAAATATGCGGATGACGACGGATTACATTTGAGAAACTTAGCGCGCTGACGGTGCACCGGCGATGAACCGGTCCTATGCCGCACCTTTAACGTCAATAAACTACAACATACCATGAAATA